TTTACGCCCAATCATTCCGGATAACGCTTGCATCCTCTGTATTACCGCGGCTGCTGGCACAGAGTTAGCCGATGCTTATTCCCCAGATACCGTCATTGCTTCTTCTCTGGGAAAAGAAGTTCAGGACCCGTAGGCCTTCTACCTCCACGCGGCATTGCTCCYTCAGGCTTTCGCCCATTGCGGAAAATTCCCCACTGCTGCCTCCCGTAGGAGTCTGGGCCGTGTCTCAGTCCKAGTGTGGCTGATCARCCTCTCGGACCAGCTACTMATCATCGCCTTGGTAAGCTATTGCCTCACCAACTAGCTAATCAGACCATCGAGTGATTTTGGTGGAACAATCACGGGCATACTACATGCGTGTGGTGTTGATTTTCAACTAGAAGTCCCTTTGATGGTTGAAAGCAAGCTTGATCTCCATGCCCTTCAARGGAAYCACTTTCTTTGTGGATGGTACGAGCAATCTACAAACTTTGGGTACCTTTTCACCCCACCATACGAAGAAGAGAACAAGTGTGTTCTACTCCCACATGCGGGTATCCCAGCCTTGAGTGAGGGTAAGACTTACTTTCACCCTCCTTGTTCTACATGGTTTTATCGTTGTCCCGATGTCCTCTTGTTGGAGTTTCGCTCTACTATCAATCAAGGGCTACAATGGCACGAAAGGAGAGGTCTAGAGGACCACAAGGAGGAGGTATTTTCCAGCCTTCCACATCTCACACGCCACCCCCACGAGCCCCAATTTCCAGCCGCTACAAACACTAGTTTTGATGAATGGCTTCGCACTAGCTTTGAGGAAGAAAAGGAGAAGAGAGTAGCTCTTGAAGCTAAYGTTTCTAAGCAAGGAAAGATGATTTCWAAGCTTGTAAAAGRAGTCAAGAAATCAGTCCCACATCTCTTTAGGCGATCCTCTAGAAGCACAACCACAACAACCAGTAGCGGTGATTTTGGTAGTCTTTCACTCATCTCTACGTTTGAGCATGATGCGAATGTCGATGATGATGTTTCTAGCCATCACAACACACAAGCCAATGAAGACCATGCCAGTGCCCAGTACGGACATCACTCACTAGTCCAGGTAACCGCTTTAGACGAGACGGAAATCGTCCATTACGAGACTGATGAAGATCACTTTCACGCGATAGTTCCGGATTTGCCAGAGTTTATGTCACCAGTCTTTTAAACCAGGT